AATCTGCTTTCCGAAACTTTGCTTCATGCATTTTAGTCTTGCTCTGGGATTTAGCAACACATTTTTTAATGTTTTCGTGGCTTATCGTAAGCCTATAAGATTTATCACCAGTCTGTTGTGCTGTTCCACTGCTAAAAACTTTTCATACTAAAAGAAGGATTATTTTGAAGTTACTTTTGTTCATTACAGAGGAAATATCAAGAGTGATTTTAAAATTAACGATAGTCATAAAAAAGAGTAAGTTTACGAACTATAATGGCTTTATTGAAGGTGAGAAGACGATGATTGAAAATAAGCTTTGAAATTCTAAAAAGCAAAGAAAAGTATGAGCTTTCTTAGAGGTTTAATATATCTGTCAAGTCACATTTCTTCAAAGCATCAACTGAGCAGGCTATAAAAGTCCATGCTGATAAACGAAAAACTGGAAGGAACGTGGTTTCGAAACGAAAGGCAGTGAATTCTGTAAAGTATAACTCTAAGACGTATTCCTTCTTCAATGGATCCACGAGCCGACGATTATTCGCCCGTTTTTCGATTTGAAACAGTTCTCAATTTCGTAAAAGTTTGATATTTATCGCTTTTCAATTGATTCTGTGCCATTCATGATGGGTTATTTTTATATCTCTATCAGCGCTTTAATCAAATAAACACAGATGGGAAATTATAGGAAACTAATAGATAGATTTTGTCAAGGAAGGAATTGCTGATTTTATTGTTTTTCCCCGATTTAGACGATCATTATTTACTGTCTGTTCTAAAAAAAAAATTTTTTCTTCTAAAAGCTACACCGAAAATTTTAAAGTGAAAATTACGTTTAAAAGAAAGTAATGTCAACTGTTTTAAAATTTTTTATCCTTAAAGTTGTGCTATTTATAGATTGAAAGTTGGGGTTTCATGATGAAAATTCTTTTCATTTTTGACTTTGGACAACGTGCTCATTTTTCTACTTCTCTTATTTTGACATTCCAAAGGCATGTAAGACTCATTATAAACTAAACACGATTAACGTTTGAAGTAATCGCTCCGGTGATGGAGTAGTGTAACAAGGATGGAACTAGACGTTCCAAGTTACTGGTAGAAGTTGACTGAAGAAATGGAGAAATTTTGCAATTCCATTTAAACGCTAATATCAAGTGGGTGGAAAAAAAAAGGTTTTAATGGGATAAGTTAAGAGCTAAGGCGTTTTATAGCTGTAATATTAATATTTGTACAGCAATTTACCGACAGTGTTTCTTCATTTCACTTTCCCAAAGTGAATATATAATGTATTTCCGTCCTGAATTCAAATGGCAGCTGTATCAACTAAAATTCATTATTTCCCTGCAACTTTCCACCGCTACTTGTCGATCACAGAAATACAGATCGAAATTAGTCTTTCTGCGCTCAACTAATGTTAGAATATTTTGAAAGAATAATACAGATTCTGACAAGTAACTAGTTAGGAGATGAAAGTGCGAAAAAAGAAGTTCAGTTACAATTATTGAAATTACGTCCAAGTATAGGGGTTTCAGCTGTCGAGGAGTAGACTGCTAAAAATTGTAAATTTCCTTGTATATACAAATATGAACAGGCTGTCCGTAAAATTTCAGACACTTCTTTCATTCAAAATTTTAAAATTTTTTGTACTTTCGTAACCAATGGAGTTTCCTCCTTAATTTGAAAAACTTAAAGGAGGATTTTAAAAAGCAGAACCCGTGCCTGAGTTACTTAAATCCAAAACTGCAAGATTTGCCAGATTGTTCCACAATATGCCTCTTTTCCTGACCACGCAGCAACTGATTTTTGATCAAACCAGATGTGTTTCTTTAGCGTCGTCAAAGAGTTTAGGAATTGAATTTGATGAAACATTTTCTCTTACTCTCTTACTTTTCTCTTACTCTTACTTAAATTTTCTCTTACTTTATTGCAGAAAAGATTTATTTATCAAGTATTATTACGGCCCATTACGAGTTCGGGATGGTCTTACTTTTCAAGAAATAATTCTGGCCTCTGCAGTTTACAGCCTTCCAAGTCATCTCTGGATCTTAAAACTGTTTTCTGAGCTTCGCTATACGCCAAGAAAAAAATTCTCACATTCGTCTTACTGTCACTGTTTTTCAAACTAAAATTAAAATTAATTAATAAATATCACCTCTTCCAGTCATCAGAAGTCTAACTAAGAGGATCCTTCACGACTTCTAAAAGTTGTCATCGATTTCTTGAAGAAATAATAGATTTGTTTTATCGAGATTTTCTAATAACCCGAACTACGTCGCTGTCTCATTACTGAACGCAGACTCATTGCGTAACTTAGCTGGTTTTTAAACCTAGCTTTGTATGTTTACAATAGTCAAACGTCTATCCGTTCCTCATAAGTAGGGAGTTCGTTAATTCATTCACACTGATGACACTCCCTTTTTCTCCCCTTTTTCTACTGCTTTTTGAGTAGCTGCTAAGTCCTGATTTTAGAGGTTTACGCATGCAAACTTATATCTAAATCTACTTAGACTCCAGAAGCACAAAAGCCCAGCTTTTCCAACCTAATTATCTTTTACTAGTGGCGAACAAATAAATCTACATGAAGTTTCATTTCAGAAATAGTAGAATCTATTTTGCAGTCAAAAAGCACGAAAGACCTACAGTTTGAACTTTTAGTTCTTTGCTTTAAAAAAGGAATAGGGGAAATCCGATGTGTTTGTTACTGATTTACATAATTACTTATCACCATCATAGGTCACAAATTTCTACACTGAAGAACTAAAGTGCAATAAAACTTTACAGTACTGTTATGATATCGTTATATAAGACACTTCTTTGCTTCACTGCTTTCTGAGAAACAAGATAGTTTCAAACATTTAAAAGATGAAAATCATACAAAGTCCCCATATTTTGACCATCGCTGTATATGACACATATGTGCCGCTTTTTGATAGTATGAACACTATTCCAAAAATTTTTTAAATTTTGCTGTTTAGTAGGTTCTAAGCCAGAATAAAAAAACCAAAAAATGGACCAGAAAAATGAATCCCTCGGGGAGTTGCGCCGCCTAGAAGTTGTAAAATTAGCCACGTTGCTGTTTGATACGCCTATTCTTGCGGACTTGTAATTTAGGTTGTAAAGATAGATTTCAACGGCCTTTTTCAATAGATATATCACTTTTCTACTTTTAAGTGCATATTAAAAGGTTAATTCAGCCAAACAACTGTACAGATACAAACAAGATTTAAAAAAATAATGAAAAAAGTGTCCCTATAATTCTTCAAAAAAACAATGTGTAGAACTTTTTACTTTATAAAGTACCAAAAACTGATGAGAGCATTTTTCGGAGTCCAAAGCTACGAGCCTGGAATGAATGTGAGATCCATTTATTTTACAGTAAAAAACTGTCCTCAGCTGCATCTAAAAGCCACGAAGAAGGGCTATCAATATTCAGCATAAAAATCGTTATTGTATGCTAGAAAAATTTATGTTTTCCACAAAAATGTTAGCAAATTATTATTCTGCCGAGTTGTAAAGACAGCTATTATTTCATCGTCCCGCGCATTGCACACTTTGCGGTCAATTTAACGGATCAATAAGGCGCATTCAGCTCACAAAAAAACAAAGACATCGGTAATACCCACTGAAACACAAAATCATAGTATAGTGGGGTTTTTTTGAGTCGGGAATCCAGAAAACACTGGAAGTTTTATTTCAGCATTTGAGAAGTCAGCAAACAAAGAATTCTGAGCTCTTTGTAATATATTCGTATCCTACTTCCTAAAGTTCTGGTTATATAAGCAGATATGAACTCGGCTTGACAATCTTTTTCTGACATCATGTGCTGTAACATCCTAAATC